AGATCATTGGCTTCGGGTGGCGGATGCGAAGAGGACGGGGCCTTCGTTGTTGGAGGATCCTATTGCTAGGGAAAAGGTGGGTTTATCATTGGAAACTGGCGTCTATCTGTGTAGAAAGGACTTCTGCTAATGGATGTTACAGATCATGCGCTTCGACCATGAGCGTATCCCCGAACGTGTGGTTCATGCCCGAGGCGCTGGCGCCTTTGGCACCTTCACGCTGCACAAGGCCATCCCCGAGCTCACTACGGCTGGGGTATTGACGGACACATCCCGCGAGACGCCGGTGTTCGTGCGTTTCTCGACCGTACAGGGTAGTAAGGGGAGTGCGGACACCGTTCGGGATGTGCGCGGGTTCGCCGTGAAGATGTATACCGCCGAGGGGAACTGGGATATCGTCGGCAACAACATGCCCGTCTTCTTCATCCAGGACGCGATCAAGTTCCCCGATGTTATCCACGCCGTCAAGCCTGAGCCGCACAATGAGATCCCCCAGGGACAGTCGGCTCATAACAACTTCTGGGACTTCCAGTATCTCCATCCGGAGACCACGCATATGCAGCAATGGGTAAGCGGTATTTGGTTGTATTTGTGGAACTGTGAACCAGTACTTATAATGGGTTTAGGTCATGTCCGATCGTGCGATTCCCCGGTCGTACCGGATGATGCAGGGCTTCGGTGTCAACACTTTCTGTCTCGTCAATGCACAAGGACAGCGCCACTATGTCAAGTTTCACTTCACACCCGAGCTCGGTGTTCACTCCCTGGTGTGGGATGAAGCCCTGAAGATTGCTGGCCAGGATCCTGACTTCCATCGCAAGGATCTCATGGATGCCATCGACGCCGGTCAATACCCGAGATGGAAGTTTGGTATTCAGGTTATCCCCGAAGAGAAGATGGACGACTTTGAGTTCGACATTGAAGATGCTACGAAGATCTGGCCCGAGGAGCTGGTGCCAATTCAGTATATCGGACAATTGGAGCTGAACCGTAACATCGACGAATACTTCACGCAAACCGAGCAGGTGGCCTTCTGCACCAGTCACATTGTGCCCGGTATCGACTTCTCCAATGACCCCCTGCTTCAGGGCAGAAACTTCTCTTACTTTGATACCCAGCTCTCTCGCTTGGGCCCTAACTGGGAGGAGTTGCCGATCAACCGCCCTGTGTGCCCGTACATGAGCCTCGTCAACCGGGACGGCGCCATGAAACACCGCATCACCAAAGGCAAGGTAAACTACTGGCCCAACAGGTACAGCACCAATCCTCCTACCGCGCCAGACCAAGGTGGATTCGCTACCTATCCGGAGAAGCAGCAGGGCGTCAAGACACGTGGACTATCGGACAAGTTCAATGAACACTTCAACCAAGCCCAGCTCTTCTACAATTCACTTTCGCCCATTGAGAAGCAGCACGTTGCCAAGGCGTTTTCGTTCGAGCTGGATCACTGCGACGAGGAGATTGTGTACAAGCGCTTGTCTGAACGTTTGGCCGTGGTTGACCTTGAGCTGGCCAAGACCGTGGCGAAGAATGTCGGAGGCGACACACCCACCGAGGCCGGTAAGCCGAACGAGGGTAAGACATCCAAGGGACTCAGTCAGCTCGAGTATCTCTCCGATGACGCACAGATCGCGACTCGTCGGATTGCCATCCTCATCGCGGACGGATTCGACTACGACTCGTATACGAAGATGAAGGAAGCTCTGCAGAAGCAGAACGCGTTTATCTTCACCATCGGCACCCAGCGCCAGGGGGTAACGGCGGAGTCGGGTGAGAAGGTAGTTCCAGATCACCATTTCCCTGGTATGCGGTCAACTCTGTTCGATGCAGTGTTCGTCCCCGGAGGCAAGCACATTGCTGCCTTGACCAAGAACGGCATAGCCAAGTATTGGATCACCGAGTCATTCGCCCACCTGAAACCAATTGCCGGTCTCAATGAGGCAGTGGACTTCATTCGGAAGCAGATTAATCTGGACGCAGTGAAGCACGCCTCCAGTGGTGAGGTGGTGGAGAGTTACGGTGTGGTCACCGGCCATGGTTCCCCAGCAGAGCTACTGCAGCCGTCGTCAAAGATTGGCAAGGACAGCAAGGGATTTTTGGACCGGTTTGTCTGGCAGATCTCGCGGCACAGAAACTGGCAAAGAGAGTTGGATGGTCTGGCGGACGAGATCGCGGCCTAGGTGGTTTGAATCGTTGAATAGTTATGAGATATGATAGCACCTCAATAATTAATGAATTTGGTTTCTTTTTCAAAGACGTACCGCAGTGTCAGCCACACCAATAAGTATCCACTCGTGCCCTGTATAGCTCAGGGGTAAGAGTCAAACGTGCGGACAATTTTGAGCTGCATGTGATGTGTGACTGGAATTCTGGTTTGTTGCAATGCAAACGCCCTAAGCCCCGAGGCCTGAGAGAATATAAAGGCAGCAGCGTGGCCAGCAGAGCGTTGCTGGGTTTTCCCCAATTTCTTTCCTATACGACCACCCTGTGAGCTGTTCCAGAAGTTCTCCTCGCGTGTGATCTGTACATTTCAGCCTGGTTCCACGGAAAATCAGTAGGGTGGGTGCAGATGGACATGTAAGGGGCAGGGCTTTGACCGGTGAGTTCTCGACCAGCCGTGACTCCTTTATCAACCACGTCATTCGTGGTCCGTCTCATTGTTACACCAGACAGAGGGGGGGCCATGTCACCCAGAATCTCGCGCTCTCAGCGCTTAATGGTCGTCATTGCAATTTCCTCTGCCTTCTTTGTGTCGGAGATCTCAGGTGCCTATTCTCCTGTCACACCGGGCGTTAAGATCAATGCTCACTGTCGCTAATCATCCGATACCATAGTTGGCTTTTACACACATTCCCTGGCTTTGGTGGCCGATGCATTCCATTACGTGCGTCTGGGATGATCCTTCGAGGGACGATTGCTGATGGTTGCAGTTGAGCGACCTGGTATCCTTCATTGTTGCCTTCCTAGCTCTCAGGGTAGGCGAACTTTTGCACTGAGACAAAATAAGAAAGCTACTGAAGCATATGCTAGGTATCTGAGGCCGATGACTCGCCCAAAGCACTCTCTTTCGGATGGCAGCGAGCCCAGTTGTTGGGCGCCTTTTTCAACGGGGTCCTTCTGCTCGGGCTCGGTATATCGGTCTTTTTGCAGTCCATTGAGCGATTTATCTCGATAGAGCGTGGGTGTCTTTTGGTGGAAGGCCGATCCTCAGCTGACCGTCGATAGGCGTTGAGAATCCTAAACTCATGTTTATCATGGGTTCTATCGGCCTAGGACTCAATTTGATCAGTGCGACCTTTCTTCATGGTGTGTTCTGACCGTTTTGGCACTTGGGGTGTGGTTAACAAGAGGTTAGAGCATCACCACCATGGACATGATCATGACCATCCAGCTCGAGCCATGATAGAAGTCCCGGCGTCAAGCACAGAAGATAGCGATGGGCAAGAGAGGCCTGAAAGTCCCGGGGTCCGTCGCGCAAGCTATCGATTCCTGACGCTCACACCAATGCTGACTGTTGAATACACCAGCATGACAATCACAAACACGTTCTACACACAGCTCAGCCCGTCGCTCATTCACACGACCTGGGAATGATGGGGGTTCTGGTCCATGTTCTCGGCGACGCAGCCAACAACCTTGGAGTGATGGCCGCGGCATTGGTGATCTGGCTGACCCATTACGAGGGTCGGTACTATGCTGATCCAGGAACGACTATGGGAATCTCAATCATGATCATCCTGTCCTCGTTCCCGCTTAGTATGTCCATCCAGGACTACCACTGTCAGTTTTCGTGTTGACTGTTTTAGTGCGACGAGCCGGTCTCATCTTACTTCAGAGCGCACCGAATGGAGTCGATGCTGAAGACGTAAAGCATGACTTGGAAAAGGTGAGTCTCGAGAAAGCGTAACTGTTTCAGCGCTGACTATAAGCTAGATCCCCGGCGTGTTGTCGGTTCATGAGCTTCACATTTGGCAGTTGAATCAGCAGAAAACACTAGCATCTGTCCATGTAATGGTGTCAGACAGCTCGGTCCCGGCCTTTTTGAGGTTGACCAAGACGATCAATGAATGTTTCCATGCATATGGAATTCATTCAACCACTATCCAGCCAGAGGTGGTGCATCCGGGAGCGATCAGCAGCCTAGCGACAGAGGGCATAGAGAAATGTCAAGTCGTATGTGGAACAATGTGTGCAGGATTGACCTGCTGCGGATAGATAGATTCTGAGGCCAAAATGTTGAGGTGTTGAGACGCTGGGATGGGAGAGGAGGGAAATTGTAGTTAACCAGAAGGACAGACATTTAGAAAGAACAATCAGTGAGAGTCAGTCATCTGACCTCGATTTAGTCATCTCTCCTCCTCTCTCCTCAACTCTTCTTCCGTCGCCGGCTGCTCTTCCCCTCACAGATCGACATTCAACGATAAGACTTCGATAAGAAGTCGGAATATCTTATCTCTTACCCCTCAGACATGCGGAATTGATTCCGTGAGACAACAAAGGCATTGTGTTGTTCTAGCTTTAAAGTGCCTGTCTCCTACGATTCTTAGATCTCGCAGAGACTCTGTGGCTGCACAGAAGCGTGCCATTCATGGACGTGTCGAAGACTTCAATGGAACAGACTCATCGAACTTCCCTCCCCTCCGCCACAATAGGCAAGTACTCGCGATAGCTTGGAGATAAGAAAGACCGCATCCCCACCCGAGGTTGATCGCCTATCTGCACGCCGCTTGCACAGCATCCCCTCTTGCTTCCCCGCGAGCCACCGTGATTGGATTGCATGCCGATTCGGAAATGCCTGTCAAGTATCGATCCCGCCCGATTCCAAGCCCTCAATGATGTCGGCTATGCGCTAGTTGTGTGAGGGCTGGTGGCTGGACGCGGCACTATAAAGTTGACTGACCCAAGTTCCTGCTCCTTGCTTCTGTTCACCTCTCGATTGTTCATTTGAATCCCCGTCATCATCATCATCATCATCATCATCATCATCATTATCCTGCAAAATGACACTTCCCTGGGAGATTCAGGCTCAAAAGGCTCGAGATATCCTTTCTAGCTCCATCCCTCAACAATGGCTCATCCCGGCAGACAAATTGCCCTCGCTCGATGAAAAGAACGTAGAGGACTTTCCGCGCAGGAGTGGGCTGTTCTCGGAGCACGAGCTGGCCATCACTGAGATGTCCGCCACAGAGTTGGTATGCGACATGGGCTCCGGAAACCTTACCGCAGAGGAGGTGGTGACGGCTTTCCTGAAGCGTGCCGTGGTCGGACACCAATTGGTTCGTATAACCGGTTCCGCCGAAGTCTATCCGCCGAAGTAATCCAGCAACTAACACTAGATGTTTTAGCTCAACTTCGCGACGGAATTTCTGGCAGAGAAGGCTATTTCGCGAGCAAAAGAGCTAGATCGACACTTCAAGGAGACTGGGAAGCTGGTTGGCCCCCTGGTAGGATGGTCTCATCTGCAAAATAAAGAGAGGGAGTTGACAGTCACAGCACGGAGTACCCATCAGCGTCAAAGAGCATATCGGTATCAAAGATTTGACCTGCAACGGCGGCTATGTAGCATGGTACATTTAAACATGTTGAAACGGGAAAGGCATTCACGACTGACTATTTGAAGGGTAAATGACATTGCAACCGAGGATGCACTACTCCTTCAATGCCTTGAAAAAGCCGGGGCTATCTTCCACGTCCGCACAAATCAACCACAATCCCTCATGGTATCTCTCCCTTCTCATCGAGTTACAACATAGCTGACTCTGGCAGCATCTCTGCTGTAGCAACAACCTGACTGGCACGACGCTGAATCCATACAACCTCACTCTCAGTCCCGGAGGCTCCTCGGGAGGCGAGGGCGCTTCAACGGGCTTTAAATGTGCCCCTCTGGGCATCGGTACAGATATTGGAGGCTCGATCCGCTGCCCTGCTGCATTCTGTGGTTCGTATGGTTTCCGTCCGACGGCCCTACGCAACCCAATGACAGGCATCAAGGCGCCTGAACCTGGCCAAGAAGCAATTCGCGGGGTTGTTGGTCCTCTTGCTAGTCAGAGTGTGGCAGATCTCGAACTCTTTCAGCAGGCTGTCCTGGATCAACAACCATGGGAGATCGAAACCTCGATTCCGCCGGTACCTTGGCGACGAGTGCAGCCTACCAAGGATATAGCCGTTGGAATCATGTGGGATGACGGGTAAGCCTACCTCGTAGCTTGGGTCTCAGCTCTCGCACCGCCACATGGCTTCAGCTGTGGGAACAAGACCGCGTCCAAAGTCATCAAGAGTAGACTACTTATCGCTCACTACCTTCAGGATTGTCCATCCCCATCCCCCCGTTACCCGCGCACTCAGACACGCCAAATCCAAGCTTGAATCAGCCGGCATCAAGGTCGTGGACTGGGAACCCTACAAACATGGCCATGGCTGGGACATAATTGTGAGTCCTGTCCTTGAGGTCATCTCAAAAGTCCGCTCTTCTGCTCTGTACTGACAGTCGAAAGTCTAAAATGTACTATCCCGATGCAGCCCTCCTCCAACGTAGCCTGATCACCGCCTCTGGCGAGCCCACACTCTCCCTGACCTCGTGGGCTTTTACCTACAGCAGCCCCAATCCCCTCACTATCGCCGAGACCTGGACCCTGAATGCTCAACGCGATGTCTACCGCGATGAATATCAAGCCTTGATGCGGTCTCGCGGCGTGGACTTCATTCTCTGCCCTCCGTACGTTGGCGTCGCTGCCGTGCTCGGGGAGAGCCACTACTGGAATTACACGGCTATCTGGAACATTCTAGATCAGCCAGCCGTAGTGTTCCCAAGCGGGCTGTTCGTCGCAAAGGATGAGCTGATAGACGAAGAAAAGGAGTATGTACCGCGGGCGAATGGTGTTGATGAACGGGAATGGATGAAATGGAAGGTTGCCGGAGCGGAAAGATATGAGGGAGCGCCGGTGGGATTGCAATTGGTAGGAAAGCATTTCAAGGATGAGGAGACACTGGCAGCAGCAGGGTTGGTGAGCGAACTGCTTTCTAGGGGTTAGAAATGCCCGAGAATATCATTCTTCCTCTCTTGAAAGTGGTGGCTGGTCTTGGCCAGATATCTGTATGTGAGGTTATTTAACAGAGCACAATTTTAATTCACATACAAGCAAAATCTACCCTCAAACGACTTAGCTCAAGATAATTGTTTATTCTAGTCTCGATTTCATCTTTCCAGTCGGTATTCACATTCTCTGGCTTTTGCTTATGTACTCGGTTGCAGTCCCTACAGTTTGATGGAATTGTTGCATTGGGTCAAACATCAATGCAGTGTTAAGACCTCGCAACCAGCTTCACACTATCAGCAACCGAGCTGCACCAAGCGTTACCATGGCATTGATCTGAAGATCAGCGACAGGACACGACCTCTCAACTCCAATTCAACTGAACTTGAGCAGACTAAACCACCACCCCTGACTACGAAGTCAATCCCAACACAGCGATTGACGATGCCTACATCCGGTCCTCCTCGAAGACTATCTCAGCCACCAGCCAGACGGCCTCTAACCGGCAGACCGAATGATGAAGCTCGAGACACACAAGTCGAGAGCTTCCAAGAAGAGTCTGAGCCAGAGCCACATGGCCGTCGCAGACAGACCTTCGGCACACCGTCAACTCGATCCGGATCACCCCCTCCCTTTCCTCCCCTTGCTCCCTTCTCTCCACCATATCCCCACATCACACCAACAACAAGACCTCTCGCCCCACCACCCAAGAGACGCAACCACCGAACCATCCTCTCGACTCTACTCAGCAAACGCAAACGACACACAACCCTCCACCACCGCACAGATCACAGCCGGAAGACATCCGGCCGCCAACGACTCCAGCAACAAAACAATGCCAAAGTCACCCAACAATGCCTTTCTCCAAACAAAGGACTCTACCGCGCCAAGGGGCAGGGGATTTATCCCCCGTCGTCAACATCCTCAAAGAATCTTCACAACCGGGTAGCTGCGTCCCCAGACAAAGAGAACCTCCCCCCAGAAGATGAAAAGCTCCTGCACAGAGAACCCAGCAACGACGACGAAGGGGCTGCCGATGAGATGCATAAAGATGTGGGTGGGGCCGGCGGTTGTTCGCAATCTGCACCTGTGTCTGGATCTACATGCAGGGGTTGTTCTCACAGCTACTGCGACTGCGACTGCGACTGCAGTTACGACTACGACTACGATTACGGCTACTGCTACCCCTCGGATTCCTGGGGAGACAGTCTATCATCGCAGGTGGTATTGACACGTTCACCATCACGAACAACAACAATACCTTCGGATGGGATCTGGTGGTGGAATGACACTGACAACAAGATGAGGGCAAGTACGACGAGGGGCTCGAATGGGCTGACGACGAGGGCTAGGCTCTATAATCGCCAACAACCGCCGCAGCAGGAACAGCAGCAGGAGCAGGGCCAGACTTTCAGTCCCACCTCCCAGGGCTTAGTAGTGAGAAGGCCGCTGAACATGGGAGCTGAAGAACGAAGGAAAGCGCGACCAGGAAGCCTCCTCGCCCGACCTCCTGCCTCTGCTTCTACTTCCTCCTCTACTCCGCTGCGCAAGTCCTTCCCTTCAGCCGCCACCAATACTCGTAGTCGACTATTCGAAGGGACGATATCCTCGCGGTCCAAGATGGTCGGCGCACCACCAGCAATAATGGCTGCGACGAGGGCCACAGCAGCGCAAGAGCCCCGAAGAGCGTCGGGCATTAATCCCACCCCGCCGAGAAGAGTGCGATGGACGAGCAAGTTTGAGAATCTGCGCGCTCAGGGTAACAGAGAGCAATTGCAGCCGCAGCCGCAGTTGCAGCAGACGAGGACGAAGAGAGAATCGACGGGGCTGCGTGCAGCACCTGCGCCTGCGCCTGCTCCTGCACCCGCGATAGGTTCGAGGAGGGAGTCTTTCAGAAGGAATTCGCAACTCGCTCCTCCTGCTGCTGCTGCTCCACGGCTGCCATCATCCTCGATAGGACCGAAAAGGGAGCCGCCTCTACGAAGGAATTCGCAACTGGGTCCTCCTGTTGTTGCTCCTGCACAGCTCTCATCATCTGTGATAGGACCGAAGAGAGAGTCTATACGAAGGAATTCGCAATTGGCTCCTCCTCCTGCTGCTGCTGCTCCACGGCTACCGTCATCCTCGGTAGGGCCGAAAAGGGAGCCTCTACGAAGGAATTCACAACTGGCTCCTCGTCCTGCTCCTTCACAGCTACCATCATCATCACCCCCGAGGTTACGAGCCACACATGCCCAAAAGGAAGATAATAGTGGTAGTGGTAGTGGCAACAGACCTGGTTCCATTAGGGCTGGGCCTCCTGCTCCCAGAACAGCACGACCACCACTAGCAACCGCAACAACAGCCCACCGCAAACCCACCGTAACCGTAACCCAGGACCCCCAACAACCACTCCGAAGGATCACCCTCCACCGCGCCCAAGAAGAACCGAAAAAGCAGCTGCTCACCCCTACCCGTGCTCCCCCAGCCGCCACCACCACCACAACCCCGCGCCGCAGCTTCACCCACACGCGCATCGCCTCCCTCCCCTCGATCGTCAAATCCCTCAACCGACCCAAACTCATCGCGGGCCCGAAGTCTTTCGCCCAGGTCTGGGAAGCCCGGCCGCCGGCCTACTGGCTGGGCCGGTTCGTGACCCTGACCAATGCGTTCCACTACGAGGACTCGTTCCGGCAGCCTGACGCAGCCACAGGGTCTCCAGGGATGCTCTCGAGCTACCCCCAGCGGCCGCTGGCGGGGGCGGATGCTGCTGCTGCGGTGGACGCACATGCGAACGCAGACGCGGACGCAGACGACGGGGATCTGCCGAATTCCCGCGTCAAGCGGGCGTTCATGCTGCTTGAGAATGTCTGTGTGACGGACGAGGCGAGTGGGGGTTTGCGGAGGTTTCGGGATGCGTATGTGGCGAGGTTTGGGGATCGGTGGATGGATTAAACCTGGTTTTTCTTCGGTTTGAGGTGAGGGAGTTGGGAGTTCTCGGCTGGGCTGTACTGTACTATAAAAGTCTGGTAAGAATAGGCGTTTTTGTTCTTATGGTTCGGATCATGATGATTATGGTGATGCTGGTGTTAGATAGAGGAATGTTCTTTTTTTCTGTTTTCAGTGTGCTTTACTACCCGTTAAAAGTTCTTGATACTTACCCAGGGAAGGTAAGGTGATCGTTGCTTCGTGCGCATGTTGTTTGATTCCTAGTCATCAAGATATTTCTCCTATGATACATTTCCCCGCGGTTCCTATCTATAAGCCCTGATACCAGATCATCAATAAGATCTTCTTTCGTCAGAAGTAAAGCGTGTAAGCCGTGAAACGCCAGACCACCCTCAAAATGAGCATCCTTTGACAACCTCATGTAGAATCTTTTTCACTTCCGACTCCGTAAGAAAGCGGCCACCTGTTCGTGTCGAGTCACGAAGAACATGCGCTTGCGGTCCGACTTCCAGACGAGCACGCCGATCTCCTCGGCATAGCGGCAGGGGGCCTCGTACTCGGCCAGGCTGACGAAGTCCTTGAACAGGAAGCCGGCGGTGGCCTGGACGCGGTCGCGCTCGAGCTGCCAGAGGCGGATCTGGTCGACGACGGTGGGGGGCAGGATGGACTGGGGGATGCCGGCCTGGTTGGAGGTGGAGCGGGAGGTGTTGTGCTTGCGCATCTGCGGGTGGGCGTGGGTGGACAGGTAGGAGATGATCTGGTCGGCGGTGATGCCCATCTCGACGGCGCGGCGGATGGACTGACGGGTGATCTTGCCGGTGATCAGGTTGGGGAAGCGGTACTTGAGGGTGGTGAAGAGGGCGATGAGGCTGATCTGCAGCGGCGACGAGGTGTAGGCGTACAGCCGGTAGTTGGTTTCGATGATGATGAAGCCCGTGCCGGCTTTGTTTGCGGCGGAAGAGGAGGAGGACGGATCGCCGGTCGGATTGCCGGCCAGCGATCCGGCGATGGGGTTGCTCAGCGCGCTGGAGTCCGAGGTGAGCGTCGTCGCCAGCCGGGTCGGGTAGAAGTGCGCCGCCTCGGGCGACTCCTGGTAGACGATGCCGAAGTCGGCCAGGTCGGCGAGCGTGCGCAGCTGGTTCGCCGTCAGGTGGCGCTTCTCGTACGACTGGCCCAGCTCGAGGCTGCTCAGCAGGAAGACGAACGAGAGCACCTCCACGCTGTCCATGCCGATCGCCTCGGCACTCTCCACGTACAGGATCAGGATGTGCCACACCTGCGTGCTGACGTCCTGCAGCACGAACGCGAACCCGTCCTTGGTGATGTCCACGCGCGCGCCGCGGATCTCCACCAGATGGCCCGCCTGCAGCAGCTGTTTCACCCCTTTGCTCAGGTTGACGTCCCGCTGGATCCCGAGCCCGCTCGTCCCCACCATGTAGCCCAGCACGCCTTCCCACTGCCGCCGCGCGTAGTCGTCCAGGTTGGCGATGGAGACCGCCGCCGCGTTGGACGGGTGGGCCAGAACGCCAAAGGACTGGGTCTGCTCGGCCCCCGTGAGGGCATGTCGCAGCGAGGCAGCGAACGGGTTCGTGACCATGTACGCTCGCACATTGTTCGCGATGACGGTATTCGACAAGATATGTAACCGGCCGAGAATCGAAAGCGCATTATCACGTTCCCTTCACGCCGGCGTTTTTCATTAGCAAACTGGGTAGAGCCAAGCCAACGTACGTACTCCAAACAGATAGCAAACTCACTTTAAGCTCTCGGATTTCACCCAGACCTCCAGATCCGCCGCGGGGAGCGGATCCTTGAGGTACAGCAAGGCCATCACAAAACATTTTGCTATAACAATCACAGAGTCAGTCTAAGAGGCACACTCCTTGGCCGGGAGGGTAGATGGCATACCCAAGTCAGGCAGCATGCGCCTGAAGATGGCGAGGGCGGTTGATGGCTGCTGGTAAAGCTTGAAGAAGACCGTGCCAGGAAGGCTCTCGAGATATTCAAACGGACGAGACGATGGTGCAGCAGCCATCTTGTCTGCACAAGTCACCTCTGCAGCATGGTGCGACCAGGGCGAGAGAGGAGAAAAGCTGGGTCGCTTGCAGCCTTGGGTAACTAACAACCAAGTTATAGAGAAAGCCTTGTGGAAGCTTGGTGTGAGTAACTACGCAAAAAGAATAGAATTGCGGAGAGCGGTTCGGGGGGCGAAACCACCACCAAGCGCAGTCCGCGGCGATGACCTCAACTTGCTTACCTTCGCCTTTCCGACTTCTACCCGTCCCGCCCGTCTATACTCCGTAGTGACTTAGCTCATATATCTTCGCAATTCGACTCAATTGCACTGGTTTGACTTGAATCTACCATGACCTCCTTGCGCTTCGTCAGATCTGTAAGTTACTGTGATCTGACTCCATATTCACATTGATTATACTGACTGTTCCTCCACAGGTCTGGGAGTCCTTTCGGGCCAATTCGGGGCTGGAGCCTCGGTAAGTCAATACAAACGGCATTTCTGCACCATCCATGAGTACCTGGCCATTGACAGCCCGACGATCGTGATACTTCAAGTCTATTAGATGGTGTAAGTCCTCCTTCAACTCATTTGCAGCTCATGCCCTCTACATGCGCAGTTGCATGAAGTATATACTGTACATATACTTCCCCCACGGCCTCTCCGGCCTATCAACTTCCCAACCAAGACATCGCATCAACAAACTAACAACACCGGTGCAACTCCACAGCTCCGCGTAACAGCCGCCCGACCCGGCAGAGTCAACTTTGAACTCGACATCAAGAAAGAGCACACAGTAAGCCAACCGTTTCTCCACGTGTTAGCATCAAGTACAGTCGCGTCGCGAATACAAGTCCCCTAACATCCGCAACCCAGAACCGCTTGCAAATCCTCCATGGCGGGACCATCGCCAGCATGGGTACGTAACTCAACGTGTGCTGGCTTCTCGCTCTTTGAAACTGAAACTCAGATTGTCTCCAGTGGACCTAGGCGGTTCCCTCGCGGTAGCCTCCCGCGGTCTCTTCGCGACGGGTGTATCGACCGATCTCAATGGTGAGTAGAGACCTCCCCAAATAACCAAGTCACTAATTGCTAACTCGTCTGCGAAATGAGTGACCTATCTCAGCTCCGGGGGTAAAGTCGGAGACAAGATTCTGGCGGTATGTAACCCCCCCCACACCCCGGGGGGCCTTTCCCTGCCTGCGTTGGACCTAGCTCCATGGGCTGGATACGATACCAGAATATAGTTTAATGCTGATTTCGCCATATCCAGGAGGTCAAATGTGATAAATGTAGGTCTTGTCTGCTTGCTGTCGATGACGGTCTCCCCTCCGAATGCAGCACATTCGTGGTTTATCTCACGGAATCTAATTTCTGTAAATGCAGTCGGCAAAACTCTGGCCTACACATCAATCAAATTCCTCAACGAGAAGGGCGATGTCTTTGCGCGGGGTAGTCACACCAAGTATGCACCTTCTCAACTCCCCTCTCTCGATTCTTGATTTGTACAAATATGGAGGAAGGGGCTTGGGCTAATTAATGAGCTCTCGATCAGGTTCGTCGCCCTTGCATGGAAGGACCCGCAGAATATCGTCGAAGAGATGGCAAAGGAGGAGCAGCAGTCCTCGTCGAAGAGCGAGGCTTAAGTGGGCTCTTTCTTCTGAGGGTACTTTGGTGAAGGTGATGATGATCTATAAGTCGGATTGTCGGAGACACGACTCGTACCCCTGTAGAAAAAAAGGCAAGAGACGCGAGTTAGAGACTGTAGCTGTATAGATGTACAGTATATATGTTGGGACCTCAGGCTTCAAGCTGTCTGCAGAATTTCTTCTCGGGCATCAAGCCACAGTCTTACAGAGCGCATATGTACAGCAGGAAAGTTGATAGTAAAAAGATTTTGTCATGACTGTGGCGGCGTCTCATGGAAGCGCCCAGTCCTTCAGATGTTCATGAATTCGCTTCCCAATGGAACCAGGGTACTAGTAGTTAAAGAGAGGCATACATAAAGAGACGTACATGCATGGGGTGGGGGGGAGTAGGTAGGTAGATTGCAGAATCGTAGAAGGCCGACTGATTCAACTCATTTCAAACGCCGGTAAGGGTATGTTCGTGCAGAGGGTCGTCATCCATGTCTTCGCCGGTACCCATCATGACCTCATCTTCGTCGACCACCTGATCCTCGTCGGCGACCTGCACTTCATTGTCGATGGCGATGTTGTCTTCGCCCATCGCCTTGAGCTTAGCCTGGGTCATTTCGAACACGTACTGCCCGAGATGCTCGACGCTCTCCATGGGAGTGCCTTGAACTTCGTCATCCTGCGAGCGGGCAGAGGGGAACATCTCTCCGGGTGCAAGCATGAGCTTATCCGGACGCTGGAACAGAAGGTCGAACGCCGGCTTCAGCTCGTAACATGATTCGAATACTTCACGGCGACCGAGGATGTATAGTCCCAGCCGGGCGCGAGAGAGCGCAACGGTCAGACGACGGACATCGCGGAGATACCCCACGGTACGCGTCCGCGTAAGGGAAAGAATGACGTCTACAAGATCCGGGTAAGTATAGCTCCCAATAAAGGTCATATCAACAATAGGATGACTTACAGTCGTTCTGTTCACCCTGGTATTTGTCGACAGTAGTAACAATCTTAGGCATGCCGAACAATCCGTTCTTGGCACAGCGGTGGCTCAAGACATCCTTGATCAAGGCCGTTTGACCGGCGTACGTTGCAAGGATCGAAATCTTCGACGCAGGGTATCCAAGAAGACGCATGTATTGATAGATGGCGACGGCATACTCAGCCTCGCCCAGGTTCTGAATGAAATGTGGCGTGGGTTCTCGTTCCCCGTTGCCTTGATAGTCGGGGACGTTGATGAATTGGTAGTCAAATTGGAAACCAGCATTTGCCCGTTTGTACTCTTCCACCGTCTCGACTGTGGGAAGGTTACCAAGCTGTTTGTAGCGCCATTGGAAGAGCTCCGCAATATTCGGTCTGGAACGGCCCTGTTGATCGAGTGTGATAACAGGAACACCCAGTCTCACCAGCCGCAGGAAAAGACTCTGTTCAAAATGTGCGTATTGCCGGAAGGCCATGTTCTGAATAATGGGCGAGTTCTGCAAATGATCACCACAGAGAACCACGCGCTTGAGAGGAAGTTCACCATTCTTCATGTTCTGCAGTGCAGTAGGAATGAAACATTCAATCTCTGTAATTTGTGCAGCTTCTTCCATAATGACATTATCGTAGTGGAATCCTAGATCAGCAATCTCCTGACGGCGCATCGCTGCATGCGTCGATGTCATGGCAATTATCCGCGCCTCCTTCACAAGGAGATAGTTGGCCTTGTCCTTCTGCTGACGTAGAATCTCAAACGGCCGTATATCTTCCAGCTCAGAGAAGATCTTTTCGATGTGCCGCTGGCAGCCCTTCGCTACATCAAGCACAGTCTCTTTTGGTGCGGTAGGTTCAAAGACGGGCTGCGGTGCGTTTGAGAAATAGTCATGGAAAGGGAAAGCTGCGACGACTTCCTCGTTGGAAACATTCTCGGCACGCGCGTGATCCCAGAACTTGGCCCAAGCAGGCTGAACGTAGACTGTGTTGAAATAACCAGCAGTTTCGCAGGAGTTCCCATGGGCCCCTTGAGCTCCGATTGATGCAGCCAGTCGAGTGACCTCACTGAGAAAGAAATTGCGGTTTTCAAGAAACGACTCAACTCGGCCGTACTTGCTGTAGTTAGAGTCAGTTTCTAGCTCTTCCTCACCATGACCAAGACGGAGAAGATGACGTTCGTCAATGTCAAGAGCCACAATTTTCTGGAAGAGCTGATTCAGTGCTTGATTGCTGTGCGCGATCAGGAGTGTACGCTCATTAGGGAAGTCGTGGTAGATGTTGTTGATGATTTGCGTGGCGACATCAGTCTTGCCAGTGCCAGGAGGGCCGACAATGACAGTCAACCCAGGTTGGGTCCCTGACGTGATAGCCTCAACCTGCGCCGGAGTGAAGCGCACTGTGTTCAATTTGGGGGCATCGATCGGATAGGGGCCTGGGTGTGGCGGTTTGTATGTGGAAACGCGCAGTGACTTGGGACCTGATGCCTTTTCCGACTGATCTTTGCGTCGCCTCTTCGTGCCCGCTGACGGGGTCTGAGAAGGTTCTTCAACATATTCCAATACGTACGGAGGACCGAAACTGGACGTTTCGCTGGTCGAGGGCTCGATGGTCCTCCCGGGGAAGCTTTCGATCAGATGTTGCCAATCCAAAAATGTGTCTCGGAAATCGACCGACTTGAGTCGATTGGGCAATTCGGTGTATCGAGCTCCGGCCGGGTCCCCATAGCCCAAGAAAATATCCTGAATCCAGGAAGGCAGAGCGATATCGGAGACGATCAATTTCTGCATAGTATCGAGGATCGATTTGAAGTTGTTCTCTCTTCCCCTCCTCCGGGCAACCACGTTGATTGACGAATAGATATCCGGCTTTCCTCGGGCAAGTGCATCTCTGTCTGCCTTGAAAGCAGCGGGGTCCAGATTGACCAACAGCTTCCGGACACGAGGTTTGTGTTTGTAGCCATTCGACTGGCTGGAAGAGAAATCTCGTAAGGGACGACCATTTTCGTCGAGCACCTGAACTATCTCTGCGGTTCGAAGGTGTGTCAGCCCGGGAGCTTCAGACTCGCGAAGTCCAGACTTCGCGGCACCATCCGACTGCACGGCCAAGAGGAAAATGACATCATCTGGACGCAGAGAGTCCCATTCCCTGCGAATGTGGTCTGCTAACCTGCCCACCTCGATGGCGATTTCGGCCCTGACAAAAGCAGGCTTGGCGGAACCGACCTTGGGAGGCGCGACTTCAATTATAGCGGGCTTCGTAATCGGGATAGCCATCCGCGAGAAACCATCAAATGTCACAGTCTTACCATCACGACTTGCGCGGGGCTGCATCCGCTTGATGACTGACTCTATATCTTTCCGGATCTGGAAGAAAGCCTCGGAGCGGTATAGGAGGAATGAACGCCAAAGGAAGTCGCCAGTGCTGAGGTATTGTAGGTTCAATTTGGGGATAGCTAGCGGGGTAGACCCATCGTAATTCTCATTGCGCAGCAATGCAGGGTCATAGAGATCTACCTCCGTGGGGACAATGCTGAGCTGCGACGCAGCTTCTTGAAAGGTTGGCTTCCGTTCATAGAATGAGAGGAGGATCTCCATGTACAGTTGGCGGTCGGGTGTGACTTGCGACTGTTTAGGGTACTCGGTGCGGAATCCAAGATGGCTGCAGAGCTTCTGCAGTTCGTCCTCCTCCAAAGATGCCAATTGACCTTCCAGTTCCGAGCGTTGCTCAATAGAACCGTAGTTGGACAGGGCCAGGATCATAAGCTTGTCCTTGAAGTATTTCATAGAAGTCCTCTGCAAACGTGCCAGCTCTTGGCAGTGGACATCGTAAATTGACTGAGGCGATAGAGCTTCTCCTGTGAAGTCATCAATGGCGAACGATGCAAAGTGCTTGAGCAGGCCACTGAGGTCACGGAAGAGCGCATTGTCGGGTGAGCGGTAGAGTGGCGACAGACGGAGAACCGCTAGCAAATTCAGGTCCTTCAAAAGCGTGTTGACGTAGCGCCGGGTGGGGGGCTGGCTTTCCAGATCGACGAGGAACTCGAGAAATCGCTCACAGTATCTCAGGTTCTGTGTCTGGTCTTTCTCAGCGCTGTCCAATCTGCGGAGGAAATCCAAGACCATCGTGTACAGCCATGACCTCTCAAATCGGATCTTCGCCTTGGCAGCTTCATCTCCCGCATCGTACCGTTTGGCTGCAGCTCGCCATGCCTTTTTCAAACCCGGACTTTTCGCTAATAAGGAATCTCTTGCCCCTTCGCTGGAGAGGTTGTGCCAGATGGAGATGGAAACGAGCGGTGCGCACTCTTTGCGGATCAAGGTATTTTCGACGGATTGGAAAGCACTGATGATGAAGGAAATGATGGATAGTCGTGGGGATGCATCGAGGGAGGGATCGATGCTCATCGAGAGGATTCGATGGAAAAGGTTCGAGAAATCGTCCGGGCGATCGGAGAAGACCTCTAGACTTGGATTAGTAGGTTCTCCGCAGAGAATGTTTCGTGCACGTTATCAAGCTTACCCCAGATCGGTAAGTGTTCGCGTTGCTTGACGCTCACAATCAAGACGAGCAGCAACACATGGTAATTCGACGCATCTTCAGTGTAGGTCGGCCAAAGATACCTACGCTCGGCGGGTTAGCCATCCGTCTTGTCTCCAGAGCTAACCTATTTATCTCGAAAGGATGAGGGCGCGCATACTTTTCCAAGATGTTCAGGTTCTCCAGAGTGAGAAGCGAGCGAAAGGCGAACTTTTCAGCCTCGAGGGGATCCCAGATCTCCTTTTTTATGACATCCTGCTTGACTTTGCGGGTTTTGGAGCCCTCCAGCCAGTGGGATTTCGCCAACTGCACCCAGGGACTGTCTTCCCGAAAGTCGTCCACGTTCGGTCTGGAATCAAGGCCCGGCGCCATCGCCTGACGTGTCTGGAGGCCCATTCCTAGACGTAAGGAGGAGGAAATGGGGGGGGGGG